GATATATTCAGAGACAGAGGAGAGCAGAGTGACCTGGAGAAGGAGAACGTTTCCTGGAGGAGGTAGCACTTGAAGGGGGGTCAGGAAGTGTTTGTGTCTTCCAAGAAGACATTCCAGAGAAAGAGGAGAGGATAGACCAAAAGAGGTGGATATGAACATGGCATAATATGGGAACATAAAAATAAATAATAATAATAATAATAATAATGTGAGAACAGCAAAGAGCATGGGCTGACTAGAGGACTGGGTTCACGTCAGAGAGAGGGATCATAGGATATATAGTCCAGGGGCGGGAAACCTGCAGCCTCAAGTGCTGCCCTTTGAATCCAAACTCCACAGAACAAATCTCCTTCATAAAAGGATTTGTTCTGTAAAACTTGGACTCAGTCAAAAGGCTGCACCTAAGGACCTAGAGAGTCACCTGGGGCCTCGAGGCTGCAGGTTCCGTAGCCCTGATCTAGTCTGATCTGAATAGAACCTCATCTTAGAAATGGGTCAGTCCAAACCCCTCATTTCACAAATTAGAAACTATGGTCCAGAGAAGTTAAATTACTTGTTCAAGTGTAGACAGGTGGTTAGTAGCAGAGCTGAGATTCAAAACCAGCTCTCCTGACTTAAATCCGGTACTCTTCAGAGAGCTGGAAAGGGAAATTATGACCACATGATAAAGAGATTTTAATACAAGACCACAGAATGTGGAATTAATGAGACAGGAAAAAGGAAGCCATTTCAGGTACCTGAGTAGGGAAATGCCATGATAATGAAGCTGTTGTTCAGTCATGTCCGACTCCCTGTGACCCCATTTGGGATTTTCTTGGCAAAGATACTGGAGCAGTTTGCCATTTCCTTCTCCAGCTCATTTTATAGATGAGGAAACTGAGGTAAACAGTTAAGTGATTTGCCCAAGGTCACACAGCTAGTAAGTGTCTAAGGCCAAATTTGAACTTGGGCCTTCCTGACTCCAGGCATGGCATTCCAACCACTGCCCCATCTAGCTGCCCTATCTATATACTGCTTCATGGTTACAAAACCCTAACAGCAACTCCTCAACCTGAAATTCAAGGCCTTTGAATATCTGGTTACAACCTACCTTTCTTATCTAATGTTACGCATTCTTCCTTCTTATATTTTCACCTGTAGTTAAACTGAACTACTCACCTTCCTCAATCTGGCCTGGTCCTTTAAGTCTCTATGTATTTGTGATCCTCCATGTCTGAAATATATTCTCCCTGCATCTTTCCCTATTGAAATCCTTCCCTTCTTTAAATGCCCAAATTTGGTGCTCTGTCTTCTATGAAGTTGTCCTTAATTTTCCCAACCACTCCTGAAAATTCTCTCCCTCTTCTCCTAGATCTTATATCACATTGCCTAGAACCCTCCTTTGCCCACATTGTAAGCTACTTTCTATCACACTAAATTGTAGTTATCTTATCTACCTTATTACATTTTAAATCCCTTGAGCCTCAGGACTGCTTCCTTTTTTTATTTTTCTGACCTAGGCCAGTTCACCTCCCCTAAGGCAGCTTGGTGGTGCTCTACCGACAAGGCTTGCCATATTGGTGCAAGACTGCAGTGAAGAACCTGAAGTAGGCAGATTGCAGCCCAGAACTCCCAGACACAAGCAATCTACCAGCCTCAGCATCCCACAATGTCTGACTTTGACTGTGATTGTTTTTCATCTTTGTATTCCCTCTCCCTCACCCAGTGTATTACACAAAGTTAACATTTAATGAAAGGTTGTTGCATTAAATTGAATTTATATATTTATTTGATCCTCACAAAGACCTTGTAGAGTTGATAGCGATGCAGTAGAAAAACCTTTGTTTTGTTGTTGCTAACTCATTTCAGGTGTGTTCGACTCTTTGTGACCCCATTTGGGGTTTTCTTGGCAAAGATACTGGAATGGTTGACCATGTCCTTTGCTAGCTCATTTTACAGATGAGGAAACTGAGGCAAACAGGGTCACACAGCTAGTAAGTGTCTGAAGCCAAATTTGAACTCAGGAAGATGAGTCTTCCTAACTCTAGGCCTGGCTCTATCCACTGTGCCACCTAGCTACCCCTACAGTAGAAATACCATAACCAAATAAATGTTCCTTAAACAGCCCTTTTCAAAACAGAAATGTAGTAGAGAGGACGTTAGACACGCAGTCAAGAGTTTTAGGTTTAAGACCTGAATCTGCCACTCAGCTGTATGATCCTAGGCAACTTAAGATCTCTAGGCCTTAGTCTGCTCATCTGTAAAATGAGACCCTTGGAACAGATAGTCTCTAAGGTTCCTTCCTGCTCTGACATTATTCTGTATCTAGAATGTTATTGTCCCTATTTTGCACATTAAGGAAACTGATTCAAAGTGAATATAGCACAAGGCTACAAAGCTTTGGAACTCCAGTTCCAACATTCTATGAGTTTATAAATGGCAAACCTGTGATTTCTAAGGGTCTTCTCATTCCCAGTCTACTTCTCTTTTCTTGTATATCAAATCATTGCTCTGGGATGAAAGTGTTGTCCTAAAAATAGTAGAGTTGTATGTTGCTATGTTTAGAACAGAGTAGATCAGAAAAGAAAGGCCCTTAAGGACTAGAAGAGCTTCATTTTCATCTTTGCATCCCCATACCTAGGACAGTGTTTAGAATATGATAGGCATTTAATAAAGGTTGTTGGTTTCCTGAAAATACTAGGGATAATGATGGATAATATTTAGATATTCCTTTAGATCAGAGATTCTTAACCTTTCTTTTGTCATGGACTCCTTTGGTAATCTGAAGAAGCCTATGGAACACTCTTCAGTATTACTTTTAAATGAATAAAATTAAATAGGATTAACAAAGGAAACTAATCATGCAGGGTGTCCCCAAAGTACAATTTTAAGCTATTAAAGCTTAAAGTTTTAAGCTAAAAACTGCACTAAGACTTTGGTGACACCCTGTACTTAAAATACAATTATCAATTTTAAAAAGTTCATGTACCCCAGATTAAGAACCCCCTCATCATCATAGGATTGGAGGTTCAGAACTGAAAGGAAGCTTGTAAGTGACCTGGTGCAACCCGCATCATGGTACAGATAAAGTAACTAAGTTAAGTGACATGACCAAGGTCACAGGTAGAAAGTTGCAGAGGCAGTATTTAAACACCATTCCTCTGTCTCCAAATCCAGCAGACTTTCCATTGTACAATACCACGTTGCTACTTTAATCTCTCAAAGTCATTACTACTCCTGAAGTGATTAACAGTAAAGATTCCCATTTGGCAAGACTCACCCTCTAGAGATTTGGCTGGCCTTTGTTTGAAGAGCCAACGGTGTTTTCATTTTTTCCCTCTAAGTTGTTATAGCCCATTGACAGTCTTCAGCCTCCTGCTCCCTTACTTGAGGAGAAAAGGACCCGCAAGTCTCACACCTATTGGCTTTCAATAACTAATTGGCCTAAAGATGTTTTCTTTTGAATTTAATTTAAAGGAACTGATTGGAGGTTCATAGAATGTTGCAACTGAAAGGAATTTTGGAACACAGATTGTTAGAACACAGAATGTGGAAGCAAGAAGGGACCTTAGGACATGGAATATTAGAAGACAGAACACCATACTTTAGAACTGGAAGGAACCTTACAGATCATGTAGCCCATCACCCTACCCTCAAATTATTATTAGGAAATAAAATTAAGTTGAAATAGTGACACATTGTTTTTAAGTTCGTGGAGGCCAAGTTAAGAACTTCCAGTCGCGGTAGGGCCACAGATTTAGAGCTGGAAGGGACGTCAGAAGTCTATCTCTCTCATTTTTCAGATGGAGAAACTGAGTCTCAAAGAAAGAAAGTGACTGCCGAATTCACACAGCTCGGAGAAGAAGGGGACCCCTCTCTTTACTGAGGACCAGCCACCATGCCCTGAAAGAGAATTCCCATAAGGTCAGAGAAAGGAGCCATGTGAAACTATTTGAAAGCCCCCAGCCTTCAGCGTTTCCACCTGCCACATTTGCGTGTGGGGATGAGCCACCTATAGGAATTGCCGGCATTTCTGAAATTCACCGGGTCAGAATTTCTCCTCGCTTCTCCCAGAGGGCGGGTGCTTGGTGAGATGCCTGGGTTCCCGGCCTATTGAGTTATTGCCACCGGCTTCGGACAGCCGGGGAGAGGAGCAGGAGGGGGACAAGGAGGAGGAGGCCACAGCCGCGGGGGAAGCCTCCCTCCCAGAGCTCCGGGTTAATAAAGGAAGCAGCTCAATTAGCATTTCACACGCTTTTCTTCCCCCTCACGGTCCAGGCCCCGCAGTGGGCATGCTCGCTCCCTCAAAGATCGCCCTGTTTTCGCTCCTCGCCAGCGTTGGCAGGGTGATAGTGACCAAGTGTGCAAACTTGTGCTATTGTCTCCGGGCCAGGGGGAGCCATGGCGACTCGCTAATATGACACAGGAAAATGTTTGCTGATGGTAATTCTATGGGCTTTGTCTAACTCTTTCTCCATCATGACGACTCGATTTAAGTCTCTAACTGTTTGACTACAAATGCAAGAGGGCTATCCAACTCCATCCCTTTGTCCGGCCAGTTTGAATGGGTAATTCAGCCTTTGTGCGCCTCAATTGAGGGGGCAAACATAAAAGACAAGATTCTTCAACGCTCAGGCCGGCTTTCCATGGATATCTATCCCCGCAACTCTTTAGAGTGCCGGGTCCTTCCTTACCTAGCTCTTCTGACATCATTCCTCCTCTCCTTCCCTCCCCCCACATCATCTTAAAAAAAAAAAAGGTGGAGGAGAGCTTTTAATAATAATAAAAACAATAACGATAGCTCACATTCCTGGAGTGCGTCGAGGTCTCTACAGCACTTTCTTGACAATAACCAATATCCCCATTTCACAGATAAGGCACCCGAAGACCCAAGAGGCCCGCGAAGTAACTTGCCCAGGTTCAACCTCAAATTCAATTCAACATTTATTAAATGTGTCGAGGCGCTGAGAAAGATGGAAAAAAAAAATCAAACAAGACCCACTTCTTAACCCCGTGTTATAGAAGAGGAAACTGAGGCACAGATAAGTGAAATGATTTGCCCAAAGGTTATCTAGCCTCAGTTTGGCAATAAGGAAACTGGATAGCAGAGAGACGAGGTGACAGTCCGGGATCACTTAATGATGATGATGATGATGATGATGATGATGATGATGATGATGATAACTAGAGCTGGCATCTGTGTAGCGCTTCACTGTACCCATGTTATTTCACTTAATCCCCACAATAACCCGGTGAAGTATGTGTTATTATTATTCCCATATTATTACCCTTATTTTACAAATGGGGAAACTGAGATACACTGCGAGATGAAGTGACTTGCCCAGGATCGCACAGCTACCAAGCATCAGCGCAGGGACTGGAGACCAGAGCCTCTGCCTCTCTTCAAAGGAGACAGCCTCATCAGCTTACCCCCTCCCTAACTGTCCCGCCGCACTGGAGCATGGCCGCCCACGTCTCCAGGCCTCTCTGGGCTGTCTTCAATACGGAGTCTCAAGTTTCTCTTCTCCACTCACTCACCATCAGCGGAGCCCGCGTCCTGGGCGCTTGAGAACCGCCCTCCCCGCTCCCCGCCCTTAACCCTCCCTATGCCCCCCAACACAGAAAGGATGGAGGGAAGTAAAAGTATTGGGGGGGGGGAAGAGGATGGGGAGGGGGAGAATGAGGGGGCAGAAATTTGCCGGGAAATGATGGTATTTTATTAGCTGTCTTTTTTGTGATGGTCCCCATGGTAACAATTTGTGATGGCAAAGAATGTGGGAACAGGGGGCCCGACGCCTGATTGGGAGTCTTTGTATTTGCAGAGTGGCTCCTGATTGGCCAGAGAAGTCCCCCAGCTCGAAGGAGTTGATATTCATTCAGACTACTCAAGTGCCGCTAAACTGCTTCTAAACACTCCTAGCCGCTGGCTGCTCCTCCAAAGGTTGGTCGTGTATAACCCGCATAACAAGATTAGCTCGCCGCCAGGTCCCTGCTCAGCCACATACAGTAACAGTCAATATTTGGGAGGCAGCTTGGCCCACAGTGGGCCGGGTAAAGGAGAGGGAGGGAAAGAAGGAGAGGGAGGGAGGAAGGAAAGGAGAGAGGGGAGGGGGATGAGTGCCTGCATGCGTGTGTTTGGGATGGAGGGTATTTGGGCGGTTGTGAAGGCATGAAATTGCTGCAGATGTTTTACCGAGTTCACTGTTACCTATGTAACCAGACGAACTAGGAACAGAACACTCCCCTCCCTAACTCAGAGGCAATATAGGGGAGGGGACCCTTTCAGGATGGTAGATAGGAGGAGGGTGGGAGGGAGGTGTAATTGGTGGTTATAAGTAGAAAGTGAGGGGGGGTGTTGTGAGAGTATGGAAGAAAGAATGATCGGGGTTGTAGGGAGTCGACAAGTGAGAAGGAATGGGGTCTTGGGGGTGAGAGAATAGGGATGTAGTGAGTTGGGGTGGAAGAATAAGTGGATGTGAAGGGGAGACAAGAAGAATAAGAGGGTGTTATGAATGGACAATTAAGTTTGGGCTGTGGTGAGAAAATTGAGAGGAAGATGGAGACTTGTGGAGGGGGAGAGAAATAATTAGTGTCCTGTAAGAGGGTGTGAGAATAAGAGGGTGATGCGCATCGTGGGGGAGTTGCTGAGAATAAGAGGCGCGTTTTCTAGAGGGACTGGAGGGGAAAATTGAGGTGCTGCGAAGGCGGAGTGAAAGAAGAATGGCGTTGGGGGAGGGGGGACGCATTGCTTTCAAAAGCCAGGATAAGTTCTAAATGTTGCAGATGCTAATGTTAGTGAAGGAAAAGTTTGCTGGTTAGGCATTTAGGTGTTAGCCCACCAGGGAAGTCGGCAAGTGTGTATGGTGTGTGGGCGCCTGCCAGAGGTGGTAAATGCATCTCCGGGTCTGGTTTGTCATGTGCTTTCCACAGTTATCAATGGCGTTGGTTTTTTGCTGAAAGGAGACAATAACACGTAAAGCATTTTGAAAACTTCTGAAAGTGATACAAATGCCAACTACTGCTTATCACTATTATTATTGTTATTAGGTCTGCCTTTTGTCCATCTGCCAAGCTGCAGGCCAGGGAATAGCAGCTCTTCATGGAAATCTCCGGGAGGTGCACCCAGGGACATGGCATCCGACAGTGAGGTGAAGATGCTACTCAATTTCGTGAACCTGGCCTCCAGTGACATCAAAGCTGCCCTGGACAAGTCTGCCCCTTGCCGACGCTCTGTAGACCACAGAAAGTACCTGCAGAAACAGCTCAAGAGGTTTTCTCAGAAGTACTCCCGGATGCCAAGATGCTATCCCAATAGATCTGGGGAATCTCACTCAAAAAGGGGGCCTGAGGATGGCCGTTGCCGCACCCCCTCTAATGGCAGCACTGAGAAGGGCCCAGCAAACCCAGGAATGGAAGAGAATTTTCCTGAAGAGCAGACCCTTCAAGAGCAAATCCCAGAGGCCTCCAGGCCAGACCAAGTACCTATGCGGAAAAGACAGCTGCCTGCTTCCTTCTGGGAAGAACCTCGCCCTGCACAAAGCTACTCTGGAGGGTTAGATGGGCTCTCAGTCCATAGGGAGGTTCCTGCCTATGAGGGGAAAAAAAGCAAAAAGAGACCCGAGACCTTGGGTTCAGAGACAGCACCTCTACCTGCTTCTCCCAGGGCAGAGAAGGAATCCCCGAAGGTCCCTTCAGCCTCCCTCATGGGCCGGATGAGTGCCTGGAGTTGTTGTCCATTCCAATACCATGGACAACCCCTCTACCAGAGCCCAGGAGGTCTGCCTCAGTCTCCTGTGCCAGGCCTGGGGCTTTGGAGAAAAAGTCCATCTTCCCCAGGGGAGATGGGCCATTTCTGCAAGGAGCCTGGTAGCCCGAGCCAGAAAGTTTACAGACCAGTGGTCTTGAAACCTATCCCCACAAAGCCAGGGGTTCCTCCTCCCATTTTTAATGTTTTCAGCTATATCTAGCCCCAGGTGAGTGACCCTTGCAAAGCACTGACCACCTTGATCTAGTGAAGATCCTTCCAGGTCCCCTGGATTCCTGGAGAGGAAAGCTTCCCATCCCCTCCCCTGTAGGGGAGATGGCCTCCCTGGAAAGGCTGTGAGGAACACTGAGTGGATGACTTCTGCAATATTCATGAAATGCACATTCAGAGGCCTACTGGGGGTATTTAAGATAATTATTGTCATGAGAGGGAATAGGGAGGGGAAGGGAGGGGGTGAAGGCTATTTTCCCAGTCAGCATCAGTGAGATCTGGAGCCAGAGTTGATCAGCCTCTCATCAAGCAGTCAGCATGTCAGAAAACCATTGTGAACCAGATAACTCCATCTGTACTGTAAACAGCTGTTCTAGCAGTTGGGGGTGGGGCGGGGTGGGGAAAAGGCTAACTCTTATCTGATAGGTGCTCAGGAAGCAATATTCTCTTCATTTGCCAAGAAATTTGTAAGCCAATCTCATTTTTTTCCTTCCTTGTAAATATTAAGAGGGTTAAAAGAATAAAACAAAGTAATTTTTTTAGATTCTACTTCTCAGATCTCTTTAAATTGAATACCAATTTGGTTATGTACTTACTTTCCTTCTCAGGGCCTCAGTTTTTCCATCTTTAAAATGATCAGGTTGAACTAGGAGATTCTCAAGGTTCAGCTCTGGCTTCACAGGCTTAATTATGGTACTTCATTATCAGAGAAGCCAATCAAAACAAAAAGCCCAGGGTGATCACAAACCGACCCTACCTGTGTCCCCCCCCCCATGAAGTCTGAAAGCAGGTCAGTTTGTTGACTGAGCAATAGGGTTAAAGGTCAAAGGCATGGGAAATAAGGTAGGCAAACCTAGGTAAGTATGGTCTCTGATGAGTTTGCTCTTAAAGTAGAAAAGAATAGGAAATACTAGGCAAATCTAGGTAAGTATAGTCCCTGATGAGTTTGGTTAAAGTGGAAAAGAAAGGAGCACTCAGCCTGTTTCTATGGTGCCTTAGTATGAGGCTTAGTTATTTGAAAAAGCTCTAGAGAATGATGTGTTCTGCTCTTTGAAAAGATACTCCGACTAAGGCAGTATCCACACTATTACAGCTAAGCATTTGCCAGTTGGGGACAAAATGAAACAATCCAACCAGGAGTTTAGCACCATGAAGACAAAGTAACCATTTGATTAATTAAATTTTTCATCTTATAAAGTAAAAGGCAGTCTGTGTCTATGCCTCCCTTTGCAAAATGAAGAAGAGAATTGAGACAATGACCTAGATTATTTTGGGTCCCAAATTAGTTCTAGCCTGAAATATTCAGATAGTTAAGAAACTCTTGTTTCTTGTGGGATCAATTTCATTGCAGAGATGACTAAAATGTCAACAATCAATGGCAAGTGTCATCCATGTACCAGGTGGGACAGAGGACAAAGCATCAACCTTAGGAGTATCAGACTTGGAATTGGGATACCTGGGGTCTAGTCCTGCCATTGTCACTACCTTGCCACATGACTTTGAGCAAGTCATTTACTCTCTGTGGGGCTCAGTTTCCTCCTCTGTCAAATGAGGGAATTGGACAAGATGGTCAAGATTTGAAAATGAGGTGATTGTTTTGGAGAAGGAAATGGATTGACCAGAGACAGAAATTGTTTTGGGGTGAATGGTAGGAATGGGATGAAGGAAAGGCTGAAAGGGGGTAAACAAGAGCAGTGAAATGATAAAGTGATGCCCAAAGCTGGGAGGGATAGCTAACACTTTGGAAACAGGATGTAAAAAAAGTCTTGGCAGTCTAGGATGATAGACCATATTGAGTAAGGTAACATTTAATAGCAATACACGTGAAGTCCTATGTCTGGGCCAATTTTTAAAAATCAACTCTAAAAGGAAAAAGTAAGCAGTGGGGAAACATGTCTAGATGACTGTTCCTGTGAAAAAAGAGTTGGGGGTTTTTGTGTGTTGACTTGAGTCAATAATGTGCAGTTATAGACCTGGTTCAGAGGGATATGGTTTGCTTAAAGAGGTTGGGGGCTAGGGAGTTGCTGATTCTCCTGCTATACACTGATCTGGTCACATTACATCTAGAATATTGTATTTTATTCTGGATGCCACATTTTAGGAATGACATTGACAAGCCAGAGTGCTTCCAGAAGAATTGAGATGTATGGGGAATTGTCTCTAATGCCAAACATCAATTGATCTGAGAATATCGAATCTGAAGAAGAGAAGCAGGGGTGGGGATAGATTGCTTCATTGATCACTGTCTTCAAGTATTTGTAGGGTTTTCTTGTGGAAGAAGGGTTCTTCTTCTACTTGTTCTTCTCGGCCCTAGAGCACAGAACTAGGGGGCAATGGCTCAAAGTTACAAAAAGGAAGAGATGGGTCCAGGGGTGTACTGAAGTTAGCATCTATCTGCTGGGGAGAACTGGTTGTTAAATTTTCAGGTGAACTTTACACCTTAGAAATCAACAGTTCTACAAATCAGGGCTTAATCTGGTTTTTTGTTGATTGACTAGACTAGAGTCTTCAGGATGCTAAGAATGTTTTTTATGTTTTTAAATGCAATTAAACTTTATTTACAAATATAAAAAATCATTTTTAGCTACAGGTACAAATAACATGTGATATACTTTGAAAACCTAAAAGAGCTCCTACACTTACTGCTGCTACCACCAGCACCATTACCACCACTACTACTACTACCATTACTACTACACTACCACTACCCAGTAGCACTACTGCTACTGCTACTACTACTACTACTACTACTACTACTACTACTACTACTACTACTACTACTACTACTACTACTGCTACTACTGCTGCTGCTGCTGCTGCTGCTGCTGCTGCTGCTGCTGCTGCTGCTGCTGCTGCTACTACTGCTACTACTGTAAGAGCCTTAGAATGTAATTTAGTCTTTGGATTTACTTTCTGGATTCAAGTCTCAGCTCTACAACATAATAGCTATGTAATTGGGTGGCTAAGTGGCAAAGCAGATTGAGTGCTAGGCACATAGTCAGGAAGACTTGAGCTCAAATATGACTTCAGACACTTAATAACTGTGTGACCCTGAGCAGGTCACACCATCTCTGTTAGCCTCAATTTCCTCACCTGTAAAATGGGGATGATGATGGCACCTTCCCAAGGCTGTTGTGAGGGTAAAATGAGATACTAATCATAAAGCACTTAACACATAGTGCTATTTAAATCTTAGCTATTATAAAACACTTGCCTCTCTTGGCCCTCAGTTTCCCCACCTGAAAAGAGGCCAATAATATTTGTATTACTTTCCTCACAGAATTGTGATTAAAAAAAAAACGTTTTGTAAACCTTTCATCACTGTAGAAATGTGAGTGACTGTTGCCTTTGGATTGGACCTATGATTTCACTAGTATAAAGAACTCCCAGTATGGAAACTACTGGAAACTTGCCAATGTAGACTGGCACCTTCTCTATGGGTTAAGTGATTTGCCAGTGTGGATCAGAGACAGGACTTGAATCCAAGTCTTCTTACCTCTGATGCCATCTATCTATGCACATGCTGCCCCTGATGAGTTACTATTATTAAGTATTATTAGTTAGAGTTCAGCTCTAGATGAACTCTCAGGAACCTTTTGACTCCCAAGTTCTTTCGTCTGGGAATTCTATGGGCTGTTAGGGAAAATATTTGCATAGAAGGAATGTCTGTAGAAGGCTGATTGTCTCATGTAATTCACTTGGCAGTTTCCATTGCCAGAAGAGGGAACAAGCATATAAACACCTACTGATGTACCTTTTATTAAGAGGACGTGTTCTGTGAAGTTTGGATTCAGTCAAAGGGCCACACTTGAGGACCTAGGGGGCCACATGTGACCTTGAGGCCGAAGGTTCCCTACCCTGAAGGTGGTCCATTGGTTAGGGTGTTGGGCCTGGAGTCAGAAAGATCAGAGTTCAAATGTGGCCTTAGATAGTCAGATAAGACCATCCTAGCTGCTTCCATTTCCATCAGTAGAATTATGGTTGATGTAAGACTCAGACGGTGTTGCTGAAAGGGCAGTGCATTTGGAGATAGAAGAGCTGGGTTTGAGGCCTGGCTCCACTAACTGTATAGTCATTTTTTCCTCTCTCAGTGTCATTTTCCTCATCTGTGTAGTGAGGAGGTTGTACTAGATGACCCCTAAATCCCTTTCATCTCTAAATCTATGCTCCCAAGACTAATGAGTACAACTGTGGTGACTGTGACCAGCAATCGCCTCAAAGGGGTTCATCTGGCCCGTGGCCCTCCTTTGAACAGGATCATAAGACCGCAGATTTAGAGCTGGCAGGTACTTTAGAGGCCATTACGTCCAACTGCCTCATTTTACAGTTGAGAAAACTGAGGCACAGAGGATTTAAGTGACTGACTTAGCATCACAAACTTGTAATTACTTGGGATAAGATTTGAACCCAGGTGTTTCTAATTCCAAGTCCAGTACCCTCCCCCACCCACTATATCACACTGCCTCTCAACTCTTCTTCACAGACTGAAAGGTTTAGTGTCTGCACGTTTACTTTCAGTCTTTTCCTTAGAAGAAGAAATGAGTCTCTACTGAGGCCATCTCCATATGCAAGATGGGGTCCTTCATGACAACTGCCTGTCCAGTCCACTAAATCAGCCAATGAGCTATTGACTGAAGGGACTGCCTTTGGATCATGACCCATAACAGAAAATATGGGTGGGTGGTAGAGAGACCCAGCCTCAGTTTCCCCATATCCAATCAGCTGCCACATCTTGTCAATTCTACTATTACCCCATCTCTCATATGTGTCCCTTTTCTCCATGCAAATGACCACCAACTAAGTTTAGGCCCTCACGGTCTCTTACTGGAAAGGTTAATGCCCAATAAATATGATTTGCTTGAGGCAAGAGTGAGTGCCAGATCTGGACTCAGACTCATTTTCTTTGCCTTGGTTTCCTCATCTGTAAAATGAGCTGGAGAAGGAAATGGCAAACCACTCCAGTATCTTTACCAAGAAAAACCCAAATGGGGTCACAAAACGTTGGACATGACTGAAAGAAATCAACAACAATGTTCATGCTTCATCACACTGAAAAACATGCTTTACTTGTCTGGATAAATCTACTTCAATTAACCTTTCATCAATTGGCTTTTAAATAAGCTTTTTATCATTTGAGGTTCTTTCCAAGATTTATGATTTTTCAAATGTCATAACAAAAACAAATCTGCCTCTCTAGGACTAAATTGCTGCCTGAATAAGCAATAAGCTATTTATTCTTTTTTTTTTAGTGGCCTCTAATTATTATTAAACATTTTCTCAGTCCTTTCTTTTTAACAGAGTTGTAGAGCTGAGACATATTCAGTGAACATATGTCCCCAAAGCTCTTCCCTCTCAATGCTAAGAAATAATTTAATTTGACATTAAAAAAAATTCACCTTACATTGCAAACAAGGGAATACATTTTATTTGCTCCAATTCAGATGTTTTTCATTCTGTAAGGGCAAACAGGGTTAGTCAGCAAAGCTAAAATTGCATATGACCCCAGTTCACTGGCCATTGAGGAAAATTAATATTATGTTGTATGATTTAGGAATCAATATCACTCTGTGATCCCTTCTTTTCCTCATTTTGTCAGACTCAACTTCTGAAGGGTAGGCAGTTTCTGAAGGGTTGATTTAGTGATGTGATCACTCCCAGTCCCCAAAGCATCTGCTCATGGACCCTTGATTCTGTTTACCCCAAGAACAGAGAGCCAATTTGAGCTAGACCCTCCTTGGAGGACAAGCCTCTTGTCCTTACTCTCTAATTAAAGTTGGAGTGACTTAGTCTACATGTGGAAGACCAAACTGGGGGGATCCTGATTGGCACGGCTTTTGTTTTTCTAGCCAAGATTGCTAGAAGCAGCAGGGGAGGTCCAAATAATATACTGTCAGGCCAATCAGAAGGAAGAGACCCCTAGGTTTAAAAGGCTCTGTTGGCCCTCACTCTAGGTCATTAAGAGAGGCCAATGATCCAATTTATTGGTTACTGCTAGCCTAACTAGGGGCAACTAGGTGGTGCAGTGGATAGAGCACCGACCCTGGAGTCAAGAGGACCTGGGTTCAAACCCGGCCTCAGACACTTACTAGCTATGACCCTGGACAAGCCATTTAACTCTGTTTGCCTCAGTTCTTCACCTATGAAATGAGCTGAAAAACGAAATGGCAGGAAAACCCCAAATGGGGTCACCAAGAGTTGGACACAATTGAAACGACTCAACAAGAAGAAGCTAGGCTAACTAACGATAAATTGATTGTTCTTGTTTGGGACCTTGTTTCTCACAATGTCTACCTCAGTTGACACCAGTAAATTCACTACAGAATGCAGATTCCACAATACTGCTTTTTCTTACAGGATAATGCAGTTTCAGCTTCATGGAGACCAGCAATAACATTTTTTGAAAAGGGAGGTGACAGTCTGTCTCTACTTGGCCATTGTCAAACCATCTCTGAATATGGTGGTCCGTTCTGGGCAGCACATTTTAGGAAAGACATTAATACACTGGAGAAGAGTGACAAATAATGGTGAAAGGTCTTGAGATTATACTATGTGGGGACCAGTCAAACGGGACTGGATATGTTTAACCTGGAGAAGACTGTTGCCTGCTGTCTCAATGCCTTTGCCTATATCCTCCGTTTCTGGAAATCATACACTCTGAAGTTTTAACATTCCTAGTTTTTATGGAAGCTCAGTCTAAACTCCACCTCAGGCCTTTCCTGATCTCCTTCCTTTGCCTCTGTTAGATTTCCCCACCTGAAAATATCGTGCAAATACAGGGTATCCTAAAAATCTTAGTGCACTTTTACAGCTTTAACAGCTTAAGACTGAACTAAGATATTTGGGACACCCTGTATTTTGCATTCATTCATACATATGCATGTTGTTTCCCTGAAAGATCATAAGGCCCCTCTTACAGGCAGGGCCTATTCCACTTTTGTCTGTACATTTCCAACACCTGGCATGGTGCCTGGCACATAGCAGTCTCTTAATATATGCTTATTGATGGATTGACCGATCTATGAAATGGCGATAATGACACTTGTGCTGGCTACCTTATAGTCCAGTTGTGAAGAAAGCACTCGCTTTTTAATCTTGAGAAGTTACAGAAATATCAGTGAGGAGTAGTAGCAATAGAGCCTAGCTCTGAGGATCTTTCATCTGAGGACCCTCTGGACTTTTACAAGGAGACATTGGTGCAGAAGAAATTTTGTACGAGACGGATTGTCTTACGTGGTCCCTTGGCAGCTTCCATCAGGAAAATGGTGGATAAGGAGAGGAAGTGCATTAAGAATAAAAAGAATAGATAGCATTTCTATAGCTCTTAAAATTTGCAAAGAGCTTTACAAATATCAACAACCCTGGGATGTAGGTGTTAGTATTATCACCATTTTACAGATGAAGAAATTAAGGCAGACAGAGATTATGACTTGCCCAGGATATATAACTAATAAGTATCTTGAGGTAGGATTTGAACTTGGATCTTCCTGACTCCAAGTCCAATGCTCTCCCCACTGCACCCCCTAGCTACTGATATGGTAGAAAGAGTTATTATTTCAGGTTCTTCTTTTTCTAAAGAATTTTTGATAGAGTGGCAAGGACAGTGGATTCAGAGTTGAATCCCACCTCTAAGACCTTAAACAAGTGAAATCCTTCATTGGCCTTCATTTTCTTTCTCAGTAAAATAAATAAGTTGGACTTGATTATGTTTAAGTTCTCCATGTTCTAAATATTATTATCATGATACTCTATGATCAGTGCAATGGATAGTGTGCTGGGCCTAGAGTCAGGAGAACTCACCTTCTTGAGTTCAAATGTGGCCTCAGACATTTACTGGCTGTGTGACTCTGGGCAAGTCACTTAGCCCTGTTTGCCTCAGTTTCCTCATCTGTAAAATGAGCTGGAGAAGGTAATGCCAAACCACTCCAGTACCTTTGCCAAGAAAACCCCCAAATGTGGTCACAAAGAGTCCGACATGACTGATAAATGGCTCAACAACGATGACCCTATGATCACTTAATACAAAGACCAAAAGAAGAGCAGTATTTCAAAGCAGTACTACTTACTAGCCCATTGTTCAAATTTACATTAGAGAACACACTTATCATGTGGGAGAAAGTTGTGAAAAGCAATTCTGAAGAGATTTAGTACCCCAAAAAGCCCCGAAGCATCTCCAAAGTGCATCTTTCTCCCACCCCAAAAGTGAGTGTATCTCTTCGGTATACAAAAGTATAGGAGTCCTAAGATTAGCACGACATTGCACGCTCACTCAAAGTCTTGTATAATTACTACTAATCAAATCTCTGCTCTTTATAGTACAATGCAATTGCTACTCACTCTGGCCTTTCCGAGGGTTTGTATAGCTTGAATATCTGCAGGACCAGGGGAGTGAACCCACCATAAAGAGAGCCCTGCTGATTCCCCTTTAACTTTAGTGGGTCTATAGGATTTACCTGTCATCACCTGTTTATGGAAGAAAATAATCTCTCATAATGGGTAACAGCAAAAGCCAGCATAGTGTGATGGAAAGAGGGCCAACTTTGGAATCAAGACACCTAGGTTCAAATCCTGGATCTCCTTGGCTTTGGGTGAGTCACTTAATTGCTCTGTGCCTCAGTTTATTCATCTGTCAAATGAGAAGGTAGGACTCTATGATCTCTAAGGTGCCTTCCAGTTATAAATCTCAGGATGCTAGGATTCATGCAGTGTTCTTCCTGTATCTCCAGGAGAGATGAGCTTAAAGTAGGTATGTGAAAGAAGCATGCTGGGTTTCCTCATTTATTAAATGAAACAATTGGATAAGAAATCCCTTTCATTCCAATATTGAGCAGAAGAAAATGATCAAAAGGTGAGGAAAATTTCAAGACTTTGTGTCTATCTCCCTGAGGGCACAGACACGCGCATGAGGAAACACTGAGAAGTGGGATTTCTACCTTCAGTTTGGAGAGGATTTTTATTTTCCAATTAGTTTCTATTTCTTAATTTTGAAAAAATGCAACTTTTACCTAACTCAGTATACAAAAACTGAACCTCTCTCAAATTTGTATTTAGTCTAACAATTCACAGGGGAAAAACCAAGTGGATGAAAAAAATATCTGTTCATATTACGACATGCAGTTGGATAGACAACCTATGGTGTTTATCTGTCAGCATACCTAGGACAGACAGTATAAATGGATAATAAGATGAGTCCAGAATTAAACAAAAGGAGAGTTGATTGCCTTTAGGAAATTGCAAAACTTTCTTTAATGACTACAAATTCTTCCCCAAAACAAAAGTCCATCTTTTTAACAACAATATTCAATTAGTGTTATTATATGGCTGTAAGATATAGAACATGACAGTCTCTGAAAATTTTAAAATGAAGTTATTACAAAAGGTTTCTATTCTGAGAAATTCCATAATTCTGAATGGTTAGCATGATACAACATAGCCTTCCCTCTCCCTTCCCACCTACCAATATATCCCATAAGACAATTCTTGAGTTATCCCTTTCCTGGGATCTCGTGTCAGACCTTTCTAACTCCCTGTTGTTGTTGTTGTTGTTGTTTTTCTGCAAAGTAGGGAGGGAAGTTAGAATTAACTTCAAGATATAGTGCTGGTGTCTTATAGGCAATGTTTTCTCATCTACAAGCTTATGACACCCATTGGATAGGTGATACTCTAATGTAGTCTTGTAAATTAAATTTTACCATTTGGAAAATACAGTTGTTGGTCTGGGAGTTAATTTTTACATCTATTACTTAGAGAGACTGCAGTTTCCGCTCTAACTCTTTATGGGACCTTTGGTAAGTCACCTTCTCTAGGGCTCAGTTTCCTTATCTGTAAAATAAGGGAGCTGGGCTAGATGACCTCTAAAGACCCTTACCACTAAAAGATTCAAAACAAGTACTTTACACATGCATTTAGTTTTATGCTTTGATAGCAAGCATTACTACTAACCTATCACAAACTCAGTGTTTTTCTTCACAGAGACTCTAGGGTTCAGAGACTGCTAATATATCAGAGATGGAAGAATTCTTAGAGATAGATCATCTCCTCCAACTCTTTCATTTTACTGTTAAAGAAACAGAAACAGAGAAGGGCAAGTGAGTATTGCTAGTGCTGGCACCAAAACCTGGAACTTCTTGATGTCCAGATAAGTGCCCTTTCTATAACATTACACTGCTCCTCATAACACAGTGATGCCTCCATTTCCTTTCATCTGACAACTTGGAACAGTCTCATACAAATAAAACAAGAACTTACCTTTCAGATGTTACTACAGAAAGATCTATGCAAATGTAAGCAGGTTTTAGGACAAAACAGAGCAAACAGCAAGAGGAGTGGATTAATTAAGCTCATCCATTTACTGTGGGAATGAGCAAAGGGAGGGCTGATAAGGAAACATAACTGCAATGGACATGGGCCTCACCAACCAGTATATGTGTTGCGTGAGATCAGGAAGCTAGGGGACATAGTGGATAAAGTGCTGGCTTCGGAGTGAGAAAGAACTGAGTTTGAATTCAGTCTCAGATGCTTAATGCTGTGTGACCCTAGGCAAGTTATTTAACTTTCCCCAGCCTCAGTTTCCCCATTTGTAAAATGGGGTAGTAATAGTAGCTACTTCACAGACTTGTTGTGAAGATCAAATGAATTAACATATAGAAAACGTTTTGTAAACCTTAAAGCATTATTATCATTGTTAGAGCTCTAGGAAAGCCCTGCAATTATCACAGTACCTTTGCTTGTAACATACACTAAGTGTTAAGCGTATGTTTTATTTTTTTCCAGTGTCTTGACTCCTGTAGAAAAACAGATGTGAGGGAATGAAGACTTATGTATCTCTATGAATAAATGTGTTTAAGAGGCTCCCAAAGGTGACCTTGGTGTATAATGTGACTCCCATAGACCCTATCTATAATGAATCATCCTAATTCCCCTGGTCTATAGAGTATGGAAAACAAGTCAAAAGGATAAATTTCTGAGTGAGGACTGAAAAATGGGTGTGACTCGTATGGCCACAGGTGCTTTCCTGATGGGTTTGCTGTGTGTCCCTAGTTCTCTTACAAATGGAAATCAGATAATAACCACAATGCTTCCTGCAGTAAACCTTGACTGCTATCGCCAGGATCCAGAAGTTGGGTTCATAGCACCTAATAACTAATGCTTCTTTGATACAAAAGAGGGTTTTTTAGAGTAAGAGGAGTGAATCATTGGGAAAAGACAGTGATGAAGAACATCAATAAAACATTTATGTTAAAAAATTAAGTTTGTCAGGGGAAAAAATTGCTGACAGGTGTCAGATCTGATGTAGGAGGCATCCACCGTATTTATCGAAACTTTTAGACAAAAATCCCACCACAGTCCCCAATCTCCAATCACAATATGTTGAGAAGAAAGCTGAGAAGGAAAAAAAAATTGGGTACAGAAAAAGAAGAAACAGAGGGCACAGGTTACGAGATGGAGGGATTAAGTCTTGGTAAAGAGGAGTCATTTTTTAAAATGTTTTAGGATCTTTAAGAGATTCAGTGGCATGACTGCACCACAACACAGAACCACTAGGTGGTGCTCAAAATGAAAGTAGAAGTGATCATCAGGCTTGGAATGGAGAAAAAAGTGTGAAATCTAAAACAGAGGCATATGATGCAAAGGTTGGAAGGAACCTCACAGAGCATGACGGCCAACCCCTGATTTTACAAAGGAAGTTACTGAGATTCAGAGCAGGGAATGACTTGCCCACATTCTCACTGCTCTTCAGTGGTGAATCTGGGATTCCTCCATTCTGAGGCCATGTCTATGCTTCTGTATCACCTGAGGACTTATCAGGGACATTGCACGAAGAATTACTGCATAGCACACAAGGTCAGACCAGATGCCGTCTGAAGTCTCTTCCCACTCTGAGATTTCATGGTTCTTGAAGCAAAGTAAAAAATTTAACACAGAATTAGGAGGGGGAGGGGAAATGGAGCCAAGTTAATCTAAAGAAATCGGCTGAGATACTGTGAAAGGCTAACGGTTATTCTCATCTTGAGCAACTATATCACGGCATACCAGGCAAATGTTGCTTTTGTTTTTTCTATATTTCCTGGACTTCTTGAGACTCCTTTCATCTTGACTGCATCCCAAAGGCCTGGAAAACCTATGAAGTGATAAGTTTTCTTTTGTACCAGTTTCTACTTCCAACAAGATCTGGAATTGGTGATAAGTCTATACACCTGTCTTCTAGTCCAGAAATCCAGTCATGGCAGCTTTTGTGTAAGTCTCTCTTGCTCCCTCTCCCTTCCCCCCTCCCCCAGCCCACCTAATTCTTTTATTTTCCCCCTTTGTTCTTGGACTGTGGCCCCACCAAGGCCAGAGTCAACGTGCTGGTCACAGTGATGGTGTAGCTGTAAGCCTTGTGAGCCTGAGGGCTGTCCTGTCAATTGACCACCATCACTGGGAAGCCACCCATCCTGGTACTTAATCACTGTGCTGTGGAAAACCTTGAAAGGAAGCTCCTCCTTCCTCCAACGTGTGCCAGATTACTGAGAATTATCATACTGCAGATATCTGATCAAGCGACCAGGGAGTGGCAAAGTGTCTATGAGTTTGATGCGGTATTTCCCAATGGCCTTTCGAACCCTCAGACGGCAGAGGTGAGCCAGGGGCCTTGGCGGCTCTAGAACAAAAGAAAAAAGACTGAATTCAAGGACTTATTATTTGAAGGCTTGAGAACCTCAGACAGATTCAACCTGTTACCCCTACCCAGAGATTCTAGCCTTAGCAATAGAGTCCCAGAGATTGAGGGCAGGGGGCTAGTAGGTTCTTAACTCAGTCTAATCAAACTTCTTGTACAGAGCAGACACTTCATAAATGTTTGTTGAACTGACCTTCATTACTATATCTTGACCTCTGAGATCAACCCAACCCTACCTTGAAATCTATTAGAATTGTTCTTCAAGAACCCTGAATAATTAAGTGATGGAGGAAGAATATATGCAAAGGATAAAAATGGGGTGGTGAAGAGGAAAGATTTTGGAAGCAGAAATCCAAGGTCCAAATGCAGACTCTGACATCTGCTAGCTGTGTGATACCAGGCAAGTCATTTAACTTCAGTAAGCTTTATTTTCCTCATCTATAAAATGGGCTATAAAGATACTTACATTAGCTACCTCCTGGGGTTATTACAAAGGAAAAAAACTTTATAAACACTGAAATTCTCTATCAATGTGTCATTGTTAGATATGTTACATGATATGGGCAAGTCACTTTTCTTTAATAAAAAATGTTTTCTCCTCAACAAAAAAGAAAGGTTTGGACAAAATAATGTCTAAGGAGCCTTCTAGTTCTAACATTCTTTATTCTGTTCTAAGGTCTCCTTGCAGCTCTGAAAGTCTAGGAATCTATGATTCAATCTTGTATTTCCATATCCCCTAGAGTGCCGAAAACTGTATCCAGCACATAGTAGGGTTTGGATAGAGGTCTGAGCCAAACTGAGCTCAGTCAAGAGGTTGCTCAGGGATGCCTTCTCTTCATGATTGTAACTACTATTACAGAAATAGGAGAAAGGATCATAGATTTAATAAGAATACTTCATAAGTCATGTCTGACTCCTCGTGGCCCCAAGGACCAACTGTCCATGGGGTTTTCTTGGCAAACCTACTGAAGCAGTTTGCCATTTCCCTCTCTAGTGAATCACCTTTTGTCAGAACACTCCACCATGGCCTGTCCATAGCAGGTAACCCTGGATGTCACAGCTCATGGTTTCATTGAGCTGCATATACAAGTCCCTCCACCACAACAAGGCAATGATCCAGAAGTGAATACTAATAATACCTAGCTTTTATACAGTGCAACAAGAGAGTGATCCAGGAGGGAATAATAACAGTAGCTAGCTTTTACATAGCCACTAAGTTCTGGGTATGGTGCCAAGTACTTGACAAACATCATCTCATTTGACCCTCACAACAGCCCCGGAGTTAGGTAAAGTTATTATCCACATTTTACAGTTGAGGAAACTGAGGCAAAATGACTTGCCCAGGGTCACATAGCTAGTGAGTGTCTGAGCCTGGATTTGAACTCGGATGCTCTTGATTCCAGGCCCAGTACCCTATCTGCTGTGCCACCTAGATCCCTCTACATGGAAGTAGATGTTGGCTCAATATCCAGAAAAACATTCTAATGGCTATTGCTGCCCCAGAGTGGAATGGGGTGTTTCTAAAGGAAATGAACTCTCTCCTTTTAGTGATCTTTAAATAGGGACTGAGTAACTGCTTCTCAGAGGTGTTGAAGAAGACATTCTTGTTTCCCTTAAGGGCTGAACTAAATTTTCTCTAAGGTTCTTTCCAGCTCCAGGGATCTTTGATGCTATGAATAGGGTTCAGATCTCCAGTTCAGTTTAGACTATGTTGAGACACCCATCTATACTTTCTCTACCTAGAAAGGGGCTTAACAGAGAATAGCATCAGTTCTGATTTAGAACCTTAGGAGAACAGGGGTCAATAATCTTGTAATAATACCTCATATATATAATATACACATGTATATATGTATATATGCATATAAACTATTATATATACCTACATACATAAATAATATATGTGTGTATGTATATATAAAACTTTCCTTTGCAATCCTATGAGTAGGTAGGGAATTTATTAACATCCCCACCAGACAAATGAGGCACCTAATACTCAGAAAAGTGTGATGACATCAGAGTCACCTAGCTAAGAGACAGCCAAGTCCTCATAATCTAATGGAGATTAGGGGAGAAAGTAGTAGGGCCAATATCCTAACTCCTCCACACATGCAAGTTAACGCTAGTTTTTCCTGAAAAAGCATTGAGACATTTCTTGAGATTTGGTTGACTCAGGGGAATAAAGACTCATGCTGTTGACATCACTTTCTCATCACCTGAGGAAAAAGCAGTCAGGAGGCATGCCAGGGGCTCTCATGTTTGACAGTTGGATCATCCTGAGTAACTCAGGCAAGAGAGCTTTGCTCAGCTGAATCAACTTGAGAAATCCTCAGTGCCTCTCTTTATTTTTTTAACTTAAATTTTATTTTTAATTTGTGGAATAAAACAAGCATTTCCCTAACATAGTATAATAGTAATTTTTATTATCTTTCTCTTCCCATGGCTAACTAAATCTCCTTTTGCTACCTCTTTAATGACTTAAAAGCTCTTCATCTTATTCCAGTATCAAGGCTCAAGGACCAGGGGACCAGCCTGAGTCCAACTCAAACCAGAACAGAGGGATATATCAATAACATGTGAGATTATACAGAAGAAATAGAAGGTAATCTGTGAGTGAAAAGCACTAGTAGAGGGTAGTGGGTTGCTGGGAAATCCCTCCCCTTCAGAAGGGTGGTGCTTCAGCTAAGTCTTGAAGGAAGCCAGGGGAACTAAGAGGTGGAGGTGAGGAGAGAAAGCATTCTAGGTGTGACAGACAGTCGGCAAAAAGGCACAGGGATGGTGGATGGAGTGCCCTCTAAGAGGAACAGCAGCATCCAGGCCAATGCAGGTAGACTGTAGGGTATGTGAAAGAGAATCAAGCATAACAAGACTGAGTGGGCAAATCCTGTGCCAGTAGTAGATTATACCCATCACTCATAAACACCTGCTTTTTCTTTGATGACAGCCCAGTCTTCATAGCTCTCGATGTGTTCCTTCAGCCTGGCACACAGCTGCACATTCCCAACGTAATCCAGAAGAACATCAATGATGGGCCCTGCCCAGCGGCTGACCTCAGGGGCAGAGATGATTTCACAGAACTGAGAGGAAGAACACAGGCAGTTCAATCAGTCAATCCATTGGTCGATCAACAATCATTTATCAATGTCTCTCCATAAAAATCCAAGGATCCTAAGAGGAAAGATTTTTAGATCACAGTTCTACAACTCCCCTCACAGGGTTGTTGTGTAAAGTGCTTAGCACAGTGCCTAGAACATAGCAGGTATTTAATAAATGATTGTTTTCTTTCCTTTCTTCCTTCTTTCCTTCCTATATTTGACAGCATTACCCTTAGGAAATGTGGGAGGAACTGATAACTTCTCTCTGTCACTGGGCCCTCCAAGCTTAGATTCATTTGGTTCGAACTACCACCCAATGCCGTAATCTTCCCAACAACATTCTAACCACTGTTTAAATACTTCCAGGGATGGTCAACTCATTACCTATCAAAACATCTCATCCTTGTGTTTGAAGCCTCACTACTTTTCCTGGGCTACCTTACACCAGGTAGCTCCCTTCCAAGCACACAAAACAAATGATCCCAGTAAGTCAATGGTTTTATTCAAGAAAGATGAGGAACATACATTTGCAGGATATGATGAACTTTATCAACTTCTGGAGAGCTGCCTGCCAATCCTTCCCCTGGGGTAGACTTTTAAATCACCCAAGATGATGAACCAGGGAAATAATTTAATGAACTAAACGACATTTTAAATGGGGACATCAATCTCTACTGCACACTAAAAAGAGCCACAGAAACTTGATTTTTTTTCTCTTCTAACTTATTAGTCAAATTTCTCAGCCTGGCAACGTTCTAAAAAGTATTTTCAAGGGCAGCTCTTTCTCATCCAAAGACAGCCCTGGCTTGTCCCCATCTCCTTCTTTCACTTTGGTGCTGCCCTCTAGTGGCACAAAGATTAGTTACTGCTATTTCCGATTTTGAGAACTGAGGGAACCCCTAGATCAGGGGTCTTAACCTGAGATCTGTAAACTTGTGCTTTTAAAAAACATGTTTGATAACTTTATTGCAATGTAGTTAGTTTCCTTCCTAATAGTTTATATTTTATTTCCTGTGTTTGAAAACATTCTGAGAAGAGGTCCATTGTCATCGTGTTTTTAGGTCATTTTTTCAGTTGTGTCCTACTCTCTGTGACCCCATTTGAGATTTTCTTGGCAAAGATACTAGAGTGGTTTGCTATTTCCTTCTCCAGCTCATTTTACAGATGAGGAAACTGAGGCAAAGAGAGTTGAGTGACTGACTTGCTCAAAGTCATAAAAGGGTCTGTAGCTGGATTTGAACTCAAGAATCAGAGGAGTCTTCCTGACTCCAGACCCATCGCTCTATTCACTTCACCATCAAGCTTCCCAGTTGTCATTGTGGCTAGCATTTAATAGTAATTTACAAATATTATCTCAATTTATCCTCACAACAACCCTAAGAGGTAAATGTTATTATTACCCCCATTTTATAGATGAGGAAATTGAGGCAGACAAGTTAAGGGACCTGTCCAAGGTCACTTAAAAAGTGTTTAAGGCTGGATTTGAATTCAGATTGTCTTGATTCCAGATCCATTTCTCTATCTACTGAATCACCTAGCTTCCTAGGCTTTGACAGACAGCCAAAGTGGTCTGTAACACAAAAAAAGTCAAGAATTGGGACAGCTAGATGGCACAGTGGATAGAGCACCAACCCTGAATTCAGAAAGATCTGAGTTCAAATCTGGCCTCAGACACTTGACACTTACTAGCTGTGTGACCCTGGGCAAGTCACTTCACCCCATTACCTCTCCAAAAAAAGAGTCAAGAATCCATGGGCTGGAGATTCATTCATGTATGGACAGAACAGATCAGAAAAGATAGAAACCTGAGAAAGTAGATAAGATAGAAACCTTGGGAAACTCACAGCCTAGTAGAGGGTTAAACATACATAAAGAAAATGCAAACTATGACATGACAAGTACATAAGAAAGTGGCAAAGCCAAGTACTATGTGAGTCCCAAGGGAAATCCAGGAAGGCTTCCTTGAGGAAGTGGCATCTTAAGGTAGGTTTGAAAGAATAAGTAAGAATTTAACCAGTTAATAAGGAGAGAAAGGAAACTCCAGGTATAGAGAACTATGTAAGCAAAAGCACAGAGACCATATCTTTGCAAGAGGTGGAGAGTAATCTCATCTGAGGTGGGTTGATGTCAAAGTATAGAAGGCCTTGAATGCCAGGCAGAGAGGAGTTTAAACTTTACTGAGTAGACAGTGAATTATTTTGAAAAAAGGAGTGATATGACCAGATCCATGCATAATTAAGATTATCTTATAATTGTATTCAGGATGGCTTGGAAGGAAGTAAGCTTTGAGGCAGAGATACCCAGAGTTCATTCAATTATTTCTCTAGTCCATCATCTGGGTGATTTAAAGGCCAATCCTAGGGAGAAAGTTTGGCAGGCAACTCTGTAAAAATTGATGAGGCTCATCACATCCTGAAAATGCACGTTCCTCATCTCCCCTGAATAGAAAGGCTACTAACTTAATACTAGTGCCTTCTTCCTGTTGATTATTTCCTATTTATCCTGCACCTAGCTTGTTTTGTATATATTTGTTTGCTTATTGTCTCCCCCATTCAACTGTAAACTCTGTGAGGGCAGGGACCTTCTTTTTCCCTCTGTTTATAGCCCCAGCACTTAACAAATGTTTATGGGTTGATCTATTACTGCTGTAGTTCAGGCAGTTTGTAATGAAGGCTTATACTATGGTGGTAGCTGTGGGAATAGAAAGGAAGATTCAGACATAAGTGATATTGGTGAAGTGGAATTAATAGGACTTGATAATTGATGGCATATGAGAGGAGAGGGAGAAAAAAGGGCAAAGATAACCCCAAGATTTCCCAAGCCGATTTAGCCACGGAGTTATTTTGTCTTTGAAATAAATTGAACCATCATGTTTGCAATTTAAAGACAACGTAGAGACCACCCAGCCTAGCCCCTTCATTTTTCAGTAACAGATGCCCAAAGGGATGCCATGATTTGCCCAAGGTAACACGGATCTTTCTCCCTCTATTAAATTTGAAATCCCATGAGTACAAGGTGTGTATGTATTTTGTTTCATCTTCACAGCCTCCTCAGTGTCTAGTATCACTAGTGCTTTGCATATAGTAGGAACTTAATAAATGTTTACTAAATTGAATTGATTAAAAATGTTGCGATTAATAACCCATACATGACAATGTAGAGTAGACCAGAACAGAGTCCAGATCAGGAAATGTTACAGTTCAATTGGCCTCTGCCCTTATGAAGCCATATCTACAATCCCATGCTCCATTCTGGGTATCACATTTCAGGAAGAATATTGACAAATTGGATCATATCCAGAGCAGCTTAACTGAGGTGGGAAGGGTATTGGGGACCATGACATGAGAATCACATGAAAGAACTATTAACATTTAACCCAAACAAGAGAAGATTTTTTTTTGTTTTGAGTATTTTTTTTAGAGGAGGGGGATAGAGAACAATCATAATTACTGTCTTTGAATATTTAAAATTTTCATAGGGAAGGATTAGATTTGTTCTTCTTGATCCCAAGAGACAGAAAAGGGAAACATGGATAAAAATCACTGAAAAGAATTTTGAGTGTTTAAATCTCTTCACAAACTGTCCCTTTCCTACCTTTCCAGCCTTCTTACACATTATGCCTTGCCACTTTGCAATACAGTCATATTGGCTTACTTGCTGGTCTGCATATGTGACATTTCATTTCCCATCTCCATGCCTTTGTCTTTGCTGTGTCCCATACCTATAATTTTACCTCTGTCTCTCAGAATTCCTAGTTTTCTTCAAGGCTCAAGTCAAGTGCCACATTCTGAAACCTTTTCTGATGGATCCCCCTCCATCCTAGTTGCTAATGCTCTCTTCCATAAAATTCCTTGTATTCGTTTTGCATATGTTATGTCTAGCTGTATATATTTACCTGTTGTCCCCATTAGAATTATGAGCCCCTTGAAAGCAAGAATCATTTCACTCTTATCTGGACAGGTTATCTCGAGGTGTTCAAGTGGAAGCTAGATAACCACTCTTTGGGGATGTTATAGATGAGATTCATTATTTGGGTAGAAGCCAGATTCAATGACACCTGAGATCCTTTCCAGTTTGGGGGGGTCTATGATTTTATGCTAGTCTTGGGTTTCTCTACCTACCTGGACAACAGTGGGTGATTTGTCCAAGGGCATCTCACTGAACCTGCTTGATGTGGTCTGTGTGGTTGGGTGGGGGCCATTCCCATACTGACAGGTGAAGCAGGAATCACCATTACACCCCAGGTCCATGAGGAATTTCAGAAGCGAAAGACACTTCATGGAGAACATGATAGTGGCTGGGAAGGTGGTGGGATGGCTGGAGATGTAGGCATCAATGTTGGCCCCGTGGTCCAGCAGGAGCTCCATAGTCTTGAGGCAGCCATGGCGGATGGAGATGAGCAAAGGGTTGATGATGTCCAGGTTGGGGCTCGCCCCAGCCTGTAGAAGCATTTCAGTAGCATAGATGTTGTTATTGATAACAGCAAAGTACAGGGGAGTGCTCCGCCTGTCCTCATACAAGCGGGACCTTTCAGGGGACAGGATGGCATTGACATCGAAGCCAGCGTCCAAGAGCTCCTCCAGCACTTCATCATTATTCCTCTCAGCAGCCAGGTGAAGGGGGCTTATACCGCTGCGCTTAATCCGTGTGCGGCTGGTCACAGGAAGCAGCATCTGAACAATCCTGTGCGGCAAGACAGAGATAAGTTATGGGATATCTCACTGAGAGTTTTACTCAGAATAGAACAGATGTAGCATTGATTCCATAGTCATGTTATTCTGGTATAGCAGAAAAAGCAATGGACTCAGAGTTTAAAAACCTGGTTTCTGATCCTAATTCTGCAACTAACTAGTGATCTTAAGCAAATCACATAACCCTTCTCACCCTCAGTTTCCTTGCCTATAAAAATAGAGGTGGCTTTTCTGTGATTTTTGTCCATGTTTCCTTATTCTGTCTCTTGCGATCAAGAAGAACAAATATAATCCTTCCCTATGAAAGTTTCAAATATTCAAAGACAGTAATTATGATTGTACAGTGGATAGAGCACCAGACCTGGAGTTGGGAAGATCTGAGTTCAAATCCAACCTCAGATACTTACTAGATGCGTAACTTTGGGCAAATGACTTGATCTTTTGTTTGTCTTACTTTTCCTCATCTGTAAAATGGGAATAATAAAAGCACCTACCCTCCAGGTTTGTTGTAAGGATCAAATAAAATAATATTTGTAAAATGCTCATAGTAAGCTCAATATAAATGTTAGCTATTATTATTATCAAAAAGGGAATAGTGTCATCTGTCCTACTGTGTTGTTACAAGGATCAAAGGAGGAAAAACCATGTGAAAGCACTGAAAAACACAAATAACTGTCTCAGAAAGGTATTATTTTTATCACAGTTAACAATTGAGACAGCCAGGTGGCACAGAGGATAGAGTGCTAGGCCTGGAGTTAAGAAGAAATAAGTTCAAATCCAGCAGTCACTTACTAGCTGTGTGACCCTAGGCACAGGATCTGATCTCTGTCTGCCTCAGTCACCTCATCTGCAAAATGGGGATAACAATAGCACCCACTTGTCAGAGTTAGTCTGACGATCAAATGAGAATATTTGTAAAGCGCTTGGCACAGTGCCTGGCATATAATAGATACAATACAAATGAGAGTTATTCTTATTATTTTAATTTAGTTTAATTTAATTTAATTAATATTATTTATTATTCTTATTAATTTAACAAACCTATTATGTTCCTAGTACCATGTAGGTACCCTGGGGTACCTGCGCCACCTAGCTGCCACCTACCTAACCTAGTGTTAATAATGCAGATCAAACTTCAAACTTTTTCCCCCTCCAGAGAGCTGGTTGTTAAACCTTTTACCAGCATACCACTGCCTGTAGACTAGGGTAACAGCATGGGGTAAGAGAACCAAAAAGGTAGAAGATAGAATCCTTGTCTTACAGGAAATTTCATTTTAGCTGGGGAGACATTTTCTCTGGAGACAGAGGACCTCGGCTCCGATCCCAGCTCTGATGTTATGACCTATGCGACTCTGGAAAAGTTACTTAATCTCCCCAGGACTCAGCTTCTTTATCTGTAAAATGAGGAGGTTAGATGAACAGGTGTGTGCTGGACCTGGCTACACTGACTGGCCAATTTACAGTGTGAGCATTTACATCTAGGGAATCAACAAACACTATAAATCAGGCCTTGATTTTGTTCTGGGGGTTGCCCAGGGTCTAGACTTCACAAAGCATTAATTTGTTGCTGTTGACATTGAGTCATGTAGGATTCTTTCTGACCTCATTTGGGGTTTTCTTGGCAAAGATTCTGGAATGGTTCTGTCATTTCCTTCTCCAACCTCATTTTACAGATGAGGAAACAGAGGTAAACAGGGTCAAGTGACTTGCCAGGACCACACAGCTAGTAAGTGTCTGAGACTGTCTATGAACTCAAGTCCTCCTGACCCCAGAGCTGGCACTCTATCCACTGCACCACTAGCTGCCACCTACCTAACATAGTGTTAATAATGCTGATTAAACTTTAAAGTACTTTTTTTCCCCCAGAGAGCTGGTTGTTAAATCTTTTAGCAGCATACCACTGTCTCTAGACCTATGATCCTATGATAAATCAGAGAAACGTTCAGAAGCAAATTGTTAGTGTCAGTATCAGGTGGACAGACTTAACAAACACAGAAATTAGTTTTATTGTATTTATCTGATCTTGTAACATCAAAGGTAAATTATCGGGATTTGCTGACTTCTAAGGACTCTTCACATTCTCACACTCTATGTTCTAAACATTTTTAAAAAATGCTAAGTCACAATTCTACAGCATTTAAGATTTACAGACTTCTTTCCTAAAAACTTTGTGAAATAGGCAACCGAAAAATAATTACCTCCATTTTAAAGACCAGGAAACTACATTTCAGAGAAGTGGTTTACCCCAGTTTGCAAAGCTATTCCCTTCTACCTCCAACATTTCCTTTTATGTTCTAATATATTCTTTGTCCAAAAATCCCTCTCAGTTCTAATATTCTCTGGTTCTGATGCCGTTTTGTGGGGCTTATCACAAGGGCAGGTTTACCTGACTATAATCCTGCTTTTCAAAGTGTGCTAGAATTTCAATTTGTTTTGAATGATTCTTAACAGTTTCTCTCCAATTGGATAAAGCTCATCAGTTCATTTGAACTGAGAGGTGTGGTGTGTGCAAATAAGCTGATTTGTCCACATAGGCTGAGATAGATAAGTAAAACCCGAGATGATCTTATACATCAGAAAAATCAGCCAGAAATATCACTGGCTCTCTGAAGTGTCTCACATTCTCATCCTTTTGGCTTATGACAGTAAATTCCCATTTAAAATGCAAATATTATCTTGAAGGCCTAACAAAAGTATTACTATTTGGGGGAGGGTGGTATTATGTGATCCTTGTAGTTTCAGTCAGAGGAGTCTAGGAGGAATTAGACAAAGAATTGATTGGTTTTACTGGTTGGGAAGGGAGTCAAGGCACTTAGTTTGTAGTTCTCATCCTGCCAGAAGGTCACCTAATCTGACTCTTCATTTGGCACAGAAAGGTAGAGTCAAGGAAGGAGTCAGATGATTCAAAGAAAACTGAGCTTTAGGCATTATCAAACAGATGGGGTCATACCTGCATGTTTGAGAAGAGAGGTAACACTTAGGCTCACTGAATTTTTTTTCCCCAGAAATGGCAAGGAAAAAGCAGAAAAAAACTTTGGACTGGAGGTTCTCTATGGGCCTTTGTTTTTCTTAGAGAAAAATCATAGGAACACAGGCTGAAAGGGATTTCTAAGGTTATCTAATCTAATCCATCCATATTATAGGTGAGGAAATGAAGGTCCAGAAGGTTAGGTGATTTGCACAAGTAGAAAGAGAGAGAGTTAACATTTGATCTGAAGTCCTCTGACTTTAAAAATCACTTTTTTTTTCTGTACCACACAGCCTCTCTAGTCAAAATGTAATTAATTAAGATTAATTTGTCCAGAGGAATAGCTCACAACAGACCTTTTCCTGGTGATGGCCAAGATATCTAATTCAGAGATGCCCAACATAGGGATGGGTTTGTCTTGGTAGGTAATGAGCTCCCCATCACTGGGAAGTGATTAAACAGCAGCCAGACTGTCATGTGTCAAGAATGATATAGAGTAAGTGGTTGTATTGGGCTGGAGGTTGTACCAAATGACTTGAAAGGTCTTAAGATTCTCTCATTTTAAGATATTATGATCCTGCATTCTCTTCCCTTCTTTGCAGATGTGGAGGACCATGGGGATGAAACTTGATTCACATGTTGATTGTTTTTAATGGACTGCTTTTTTCCCCTCTCTTTTTGATGTTTAGTTAAAAGTGGTGGTAGAGTGGAAACAGAGCTAACCTTCAAGCCAGGACAACTTGTGTTCCCATCCCATCTCTGAGACCTCATGGATTTGTGACCCTGCCTCAGTCATTTAACTTCTCCGTGTTTTATGTAACCCTCTAAGGCTGTAAGTTGCAAAGAAAGTGCTGACTTACGTTGGTAGATTTATACCAATGGAATCACAAGGCCCTTTGTTTATTTGTTTCAGTTGTGTCTGACTCTTCATGACCCTATTTGGGGTTTTCTTGTCAAAGACACTGGAGTGGTTTGCCATTTCCTTTTCCAGCTCATTTTACACATGAGGAAACTGAAGAAAACAAGGTGAAGTGACTTGCCCAGGGTCACACACAACTAGGAAGTGTCTGAGGCCAGATTTGAACTCAGGAAGATAAGTCTTCCTGACTCCAGGCCTAGGACTCTATCCACTGCTCCTGCTTATGTTTATACTTCATTCTAAAGTATAGATTTCTGGATGGGGAGGGTGTAAGGGGGGGAGAAGTAAAGGAATATGCTGAGAACAGAAGGTGATTTAAAGACAAGATTATCAATCCAATTTTAAAAGATTCTGTGATTCTAAGATTATGTGATTCATTCTAGGAGTCACACTCTTTAATTCTAGATTCTACGCCCGCGGCCGACAGACAAGGGCCAATTGAGGAATGCCGATTCAGTTGCGGACCCTCATCTTCACAGGTGACCACATCTTTTCACACATTTCAGTGGAAGGCAGTAACAGTTCACCAAACAGATACCATGCGGACAGTTTCCCAGCTTACCCAAGTCCTGGCAAAATGAATTTTCTCTGGCCCCCTTGAAATCTGACACCACTAAGTCTCACACTATGACACCAGCAGAAAGTATTATCGTTGGGATCTCAGGCTGTTATTTCACAAATCAATCTTTAAAACCTACAAAGAAAATTTGCACACCCAGGGGGACTCATTGCCTTATAATTTCTGTTTGTGCAAGCTCAGGAGGCTTGATCTAGACCCGCAAAGGTGGCGGTCAAAGGAGGAAGGGCCAGGCGCTGTGGGCCTGGCCTTCAGCCATTTCTAACAAATGCTTTGTCATAGCCATAACATTCCCCAAGCACCTACTGCTCAGGGCCACAGGGCTCTCTCTGCCCAGGCAGGGGTTAGCAAGGATCACAGGATCACAGAGATAGAGCTGAAAGGCACCTATAGACCATCAAATCCAACGCCCTCACTTTGTAGATGTGGAAACTGAGGCCAAGAAAGTAAAATGACTTGCCAGGGGTCAAATATCAGAGATGAAATATAAACCAAAGCCTGTTGTTATTGTTCAGTTGTGAGTTTATT